GCAGAATCCTAAATGCTGATAGTAAATTTATACTGTTCATTTCAAGCACCTATTTTGATGGTTGTTTTCATCTTTATGGACATTTAATGTCTTCTAAATATACTCCACAAAGTCAAAGTAATTTTAATTTTTTTAAATATTGAACATTTAAACACAACCTAAGTACATATATGAAATAAATCCATCAAACAAGGTAGTGATTAGGGAAGTCACAGCTTTTCTGGTCACAGAAAAACTGTTTTTTCTTTCTAAGTGATAAGGGATTTAACATCCCTTAGAATCTAAATTAGCACTTTCCTTGTAAAAAACCTATGATCTTATTCAATACTACAACTCTGATAGAAACCATGATTGAACCAGCATAGAACATATTCAATTTGGAGTTCTCAGAAAATGCTTATATATGCAGACAATATAGCAGAGTGTCAATAAGGAAGATACTAATGAATGGACATACAGTTTCTCAACTTGTCTCTCTCTTGTCAAGCTGGGTTTTTTCACATAAGCACACAACTGTGAATTAAATATGGCATCTAAAGCCATGAGAGATTTCATTCCTCTTTTCTGGCAAAACCCCATATTTTGTCCTAAAAGTGAAAGTTCCCTTTAGCTACTGTAGTTTTTGGACCCATTCCTGTGTACTTGAATGGCATGCATCTTTCTCTGGAAAAAATATAGCCTCTGAATCTCAGGAAAAATTTATTTTATTTCAGTGTGACAGTGAAACTATAAAGACAGCAGTGTCATGAATTATGAGCAGTGTCCTTTTATATCAGGATAAGTGCAGTAGAAAAGTTGAGACAGTTGATAACACCAGACATAAAATACACTAGAGAATGCCACCTAATTCTTGTTAAGGTTTGTGACTTTATATATTGCTTACTTATTATTCCTAGTATGTTTTTAAGTGCATCAAATTAACTCAATCAGGAATGGTTTAATCTTACTGATAAGACATGCATAAAAATTACTAAGAAATAAATAGAGGTATCTCTATGCAACACCTTCAAGATTCATTAGGATGATTAGATGTTAAAAATACAAAGACAGTTATTAAAGTGAAAAAGGTGTTAGCAGTTCATATCTTTAGTCTGATAGTTTAATAGTCAGTTACTGATTAATAAAATGCATTTCCTCACCACTTAATCTCATGCTTCCTAGAACATGACCAGCAAAGTCTAATATTTCTGGTTTAAAACAGTACTTGAAGTCCTAAAATTCGCAGTAAGAGTTTCCAAACAAAATTAAACTGCTAGGTCAGTGAAATAGTAAGAAACCAAGGTGGCAAACTACACCCTCACCAGTATTCATTCACTCACCCCTGAGAGTGAATGGGGTGGGGAGAGAACTGAAAAAGTAAAATTAAGAACATTTGTGGATGGAGATAAGGACAGATTGATAGGTAAAGCAAAAACTACATTCACAAGCAGAACAGAATAAGGAATTCATTCACCATGTCTCACTGATGGCAGCTAGGTGTTCAGCAATCTCCAGGAAACATCCCCCTCTCCTTTTCCCCCCGTTTTATAGACTGACCAATGCATCATATTCTATGCAATATATCTTTGATCAGTGGGGGTCAGCTGTCCCAGCTGTGTCCCCTCACACCTCCTTGAGCACCCTAAGCCTCCCTGCTGGTGGGACAGTGTGAGAAGCAGAAAAGTTCTTGACTCTGCACTGCTCAGCAGTAACACCCCTGTGTTATCAATACTGTGTACAATACATATTCTAAAGCACATATTCAATATTTGACTCATACCAACTCCTATGAAGAAAAGTATCTTTATCCTAGCTGAAAGCAGCACAGCCAAGAAGAGATTTTAGCTCTGTGTTGGTAATAGAGGTCACAGCCATTTTTTTGGGTATTACTACTACATGCAACTCTAATGGAGAGGTGATCCTGTGAGAGGTTCAACAGCTTTTCAGGAAAATCTTCAAAATGCTTTCACCAGAATTTGCTTCTAATTGTACTGATATGATCCTTTCCTTCAAGGGACCTTTGAACCAGTTACCTCTGGCATGTACAACCACTATGTACTCCTAGGAGATTTTAGGCCATGAGATGTTAAATAGTGTAGAATAGATATAAGTGTTTTAGTCACCATGACTAATGGAGTTTTAAGCAACATGGGCCCAATTTTGACAGTTGTTATGTTAAGCTGAGATAACAAGAATAACTTATTCTATAAAAAGCACTGAAGATTAAAAAATATATCAGAGCCTTACATGAGCCATAATTATTTAATAACAGTATTAGAAAAACTAGCTTTACTGAAGGTAGGTGTTTCTGTTCATTACACAAAGCTGTTAAAGTAGGTGAAAAAAATTATAAAACTGGGCACAGAAATTCAAACCATGACAGTGTTTCTCCTGTACTGTACAAATGTTCACAAAGAAGTACCTGTTTGTAGATACATCCCTAAAATGTAGGTGGTTGAGAAATTTTTTTTTTTCCCAAAGATGAGTCAGTTGTCAAGGCTTTGTGATGCATTTTTCTAAATGCAGAAATGGAGCCTTATAAAATCCCAGTCAGCTCCAAACAAAGTATCAACCTACTAGCTAAGGAAGTGACTTTCTGAAGCTTCCACTATAAATGAGGAGCTTTGCTTGGTTAGTTTTTCTAAGATTTAAATGTGTTAATGTTAAACAGCACATAAACATTACAAGGACACCATTTAACACAATGGGCAGCTTTGCTCTTTATAGCATGGGTGCTGTCTCCATGACTGTCGAGCATTTCTTTTGAAGATTTGATTCACTTAAAAGCTAGTACCACTGCTATCAGGTTTATCAGGTTTCTCTTGAAATGTGAGAGATCAGAAGTGAAAATGTGACTAGATCTTAACCTCTTAAAAAAAAATGCATCCTGAGGCAATCAAAAACTGGAGTTTCAGAAAACCTCACATGATTTTTCTTATGAGTGAGGAGTGCATGCCTGAAAGGTGCATGGCACATACTTTGTATTTACAGGCTCTCTTCAGTCTGGGCTACAGAGGAGGTAATTAGCAATTCTGGACTAAATCTTTAGAGATTTTAAGCATCTGCTAATTAACCCAAGAGCTATGAACAGCAGGAGACACTATAAAGTGTCAGTACATCCATAAAACACTGAATGAAAAGCCAGCGTTGCAGTTCATCATTTTATTGTATCATGTCATTTTGTAGTTTAGTATTTTCTTGCTTATTGTTGTACTTTTTCTGATTGTTTTATGTACTATTTTGTTTTTAACTCAAACCAAATATCCCATCATTTCAAAAAACTCACATCCATAGAAAAAGAGGGGGGAATTAATAATATGACACAATCAGGATGCTGACATCATCAACTCTACCATATTTGTCTATATACAAGTTCTTAGCTACTTCATTACTAGAAGATACTTTGAGTAATTTTTCTAATACAGATAACACTTGAGGAGAACATTCCAAAAATAAAGTACCTAAGCACATAAACAAGGAACATCTTAGTCACCCGCCACATCTCAGCCCACATATTTAAATGAATTACTCATACGGTCATCTGATAACTTTTGCAAAACCCTTTTTTATACCTAAACTTATGATCCTCTTGTAAGAAACATATTGATTACTGTTTATGCAATTTTGCCTAATTTTATTTGCATTCCCCTAATATATCTACTTGTTTGTTTTATTGATTAAGCTTTAAACAGGAAGTACCTTCAAACATTTGATAAAATTCTATTCACATAGTAATTTTGCAGAAAATGTCATACAATAAGACTCGTCCATTTTTAAAAGTCTAATTAAAGACATCAGAAAGAAATTACCTGAGGGTAGGAAGAGCAATTAATGGATGTTTCTTGTCGGAAGTTGTGTTTTCCAAAGGGATTAAACATAGCCATTGAATTCATCATGTCATACAAACATCCATTATTTGCCAGTTCAGTCTGTGAGAAGGAGGAATACTTCCCCACATTCTCTAGTTATGAAGCTGCTACTCCTATGATGACATGATATGTCATTATCTATTTGAGAAAGAAGCCCCTCTAAATTAAGAGAGCCCAGTTTTATGTTTTCCTTAAAGTCCATAAGTTAACCTCCTCTTTTCTCAACTCTAGCCTTTCCAGGAAATCTCTCTCACAGGTTTCCTTGTCACCCCAGCAATAAAAACATGATGGCAAGATACTGCATTGACCTGCTGTATGTGACTAGCACGCTATGCCACAAACCTGGAAGATAACTAAGTCTTCTGAACAAGGAAGGCACTAACCCACTTGTTATTTATGACCTACTACAATGGTTTCAAGCAAAAGCCAGCATTTAAAAACGCAGGCTTATGAATATATTTTGAAAGAAAATAATTACTCAAGGTTTGTTTTCAAAAAATATTTCTGGTCTATAGATGCTAAACACAAATCCTCACTCAAAGTTATGAGTCGCTTGTTTATTCTCAAAGTTTTGGGTAAGATATAAGTAATTGAATTGTCATACTGGCTGTTTCTCTTCATGTCCCCGGAGTTCAAGTTCATCATGAGATGCTTTCCACCATGAGACACTCAACTGGTTTCTGCACTGACCTCTTGAAGACAGAGCCCTGAGTGCTCTTAGGGGAACTTCCCTGTTCAACCATCCAGGAGACACCCTGGCAGCCACACTCATGCACCTGACACACAGTCAGACCAGGTTTCCTTGCTAGCTCAATCCTAGATTTCCCATAGCAGAGTCTCAAATGTCTTTATCCTTTAATCTCAGTGCAATAATTGAGCAACAGCTTGAGTTGGTGCCTCTGAGGCAGGAACACAAGAAAAACCTGTGATTTTATAACTTCATTCAAAGGGGGCAAAAGTCTGGCTCCTTTGCTCCTGCTGTATCCCTGAGTCCGGTCACCTGGCTGGGCCCTGCAAAGTGTCAGCGCCTCAGCTGCCACCATCCCGAGCTGAACCTGCAGCTCCCACTGCAGCTGCCACCCTGAATGTGTCCCAACAGCGTTTCCCATCACAGCGCTGTCACTCTCGGCTCCAGCTGGCTCACATGACTCCAGCAGCACTTAGTGGTTGCTTGTCACAACAGGAATGCTCTCAGCAGCAGTGGCACTCTGAACCCCTCAGGAAAGAGCTGGGTGGAATGAGGCAGACAGATCCATATGGGACCTCATCAGGTTCCTGGGTTCACCTGGTGAGAGAAGCAAGGTATGAGAATGCTGCAGGCCGAGCTCATCACAAAGCACCACTGAGCACTGCGTGTTTCATGGCTCTTGAGGCTGTCAAGACAATTCTGCACAAATGGGATTTCATTTAAAACTAAAGCAAAAATGGAAATTCTCCAGAATAGGAACAGTGATAATTATTCAAGTATTTAAATTACAATCCAAATCTCATGAGGAAACTTCATGTTTAATTTTATGTATCATGTGGAGACTGGGTTTATTACTGGGTACCAATTAATCTTTCTGCAAGATTTGTTAATTTTTTGCAATGCCCACTGGACAATGCTAAATCATTGCAATTAAGATTTAACGAAATTATTCTTGTGGCTTCAATTTATGTCTGTTCTATCTCACATGGTTTTGATGATCAACTTTTAAATTTGGGGTGATGGCAGCAAATAGGCAATGTCACAGCACGGCTAAAAATCTTGTGTAATTACATGTTTCTTTTAATGTAATTTGCAATGTGTGAATTCACTATGTCTGATTTCTTTTGCCTGATGATTCATCCCAAAAGCTACTTTTAAGCATACCAGAGACTTCTGAAACTTCATGATACTGATTTACAACTGATCTCTAGGAATCACTGACATCCAAGTAGTTCTAGCCATTAATTCAGGGGGAGATAATCATACTGGTCATGGTACTGCTTCTGAGTATGCTTCTAGTCTCTTCCAGGGTCTCCATTCATGGAGTTATGTCTCTTCCTTTGGTAATATTAGTCTGCAGCTTATTAAATGCTATAATGGCAGAGTTACCAGCCTAAAGACCTGGACACAAATCTTTTAATGCGCACCTTGTACACAGAATTGTGCATTTTTCTTACAGGTTTTTGACTCTGCTGGATCTTTTCTCCAGTATGTGCATACATAATCTATGCATCCATATTCAAAGGTGTCACTGACACTTAAGAAGCTGTCCCAGAATTTCCTGAAAGCCTTCTTATCTCTTTACATTTTGATTATTTTTATGGACTACAAAAAGCCATTAATATCTTATCAGTCATGATCTATTTGTTTACCATCTCCTACTAATAATTTGACAAATACAAAAACTAAGAAATGTTTTTTTCAAGCCTGAAAAAGACAATTTTTTACCTTATATCTTTTTTAGTAAAAAACCCTTTTTGAAAATTTTTTTACCATTTTTAGTTTAAAAAAAATCCCCTTTATAGTAAAAATCCCTGCTCTTTTTTGTTTATTTGTAGGCTATTGAAAAAAAATAAAACTACAAAGAAGGCAAGCCTATTTTTTTTTGTATATTTTTCTGAAATATATGCAAAAACTCCCCAGGTTTACAAAAGCTGGTATTGGCACATCTTGTCCTGATAAAGTTCCCAAGACAACTTGCTTCATCCTAGAATAACAATCAAAAAACTTTCCATTCTGCCCATTCTGATTTTACATATCTTTTCCCCCATTCATTTAGTCTTGTACTGCATCTGCTTAATAATTCCAAGCAGTAGATACATATCAGTAAAGCATTTAGATCATCAGAATTTACAAAGAAATATTCCAAAACAGTTCAAAAATAGTCCAAGAATAATGCATTATATATCTGAAACACATCATCTGTCATCCATTTTATTAGCAATGTACTATGTTATACATGCTATGTATATCATACTATGTTATACATCCACTTTATTAGCAATGAACTAGTTCTTGTATAAAAACACCTTCTGGTCAATATGTAACACTCTCAGGCTTGAAACAACTTTAATCCAAATTTTATTAAACTGAAAATTAATAGAAAAAGAAACCTTAAGCAAATCAGTTTTGCATAAGGTCCATTGTTACAAATCCTTTCTGCCTTGATGGTCAGAAAAAAACACTTACTCCAAATCTCCCCTCAGTTAGTGCCTTAGTAATCAATACACAGAGTCAAAATTTTGCATGCCTATTGCTGATGTTCTTATGTGGATGTCACACATCTACAGAGCAACAAGACCAATAAATGAGTTTTAGTAGGGGCTGACAACATAATCCCTGAAAAAGCAAGTGTGGGTATAAAATGACCAAAAACACCAGAAAAAAAAACAAACAAAAAACCACAAAAACAAACAAACAAATAAACAAAAGAGTGGTTTCAGATTCTGAAGTATTTCAGAATTTTTCAGTAGGTTGGCCATGAGCAAGGGTGTGTGACTAAACACACACAAAATCAAAGTCCAGTATGCCCATTAGTATCAGCAGATATCCCAGAGCCAAGTGGTGTGAATGGACAAAGGGGATGAGCAGTTGTACACCTTGTAACTTTTGAAGACAGAATATGATAAGTGAACAATAAAATGCTAAATAATACACAGACCAGCATATGGCTCAGAGATTTTGTAGCTTCTGGTGTATATATGTTTATGCATTTGTATACATAAACATATCTGTTGCTATTTTAGTTACGCTCATATAGGCAATAGCATCTTGACAGCTTATTAGTAGCAGGTTATGTGTTTTTGCCTTCCTAAATGTCACCATTTGGTATTTAATAAATATCAAGAAATCTCACCAGGTGTCAAGTGTGCTGAGGGGTAACTTTGCACTGGCTCTTTAACACATAACCCCTACTCTTTTTAGTCTACTCTAGTCTAGACAACACATTGTCTATTTTTGACAATCATTCTCCTAATTTATCAAACTTCAGAAAAGAATTACATGTCTAGACCACTCTGGTACTAAGCAATGGATTATATCCTTACTGAAAAATGGTCTACTGACTGACAAAGCCTGATTTCTTAACCAACTCAGCCATCTGCTTAAAGAAACTATCCTAAAATGGAGTTCTCACAAAATTTTAGAGCTAGCTTCTCAATAAATTGTGATTTGAATCTAAATCAAATTTACACACAAAACATTGATCATGTTGAAGTATAGAACCTAAAAAATTAAATTTTTTGAATTAATAATCTTATTCTTTGAACAAAAATGCAGCAGGAGGTCCCAGAAAAACTGAGTGCCAGTATGAGCAATTCTATGGGAGTATCCAATTTAAATGAGTAGAATTTTATTTTAACTGCATTTCATTTTCTTTAACTGGACATGCCGGTCTTGTCTAGATCAACAGAACACTAAAGTATCAGAGACTGGACAGATTACTCATGCAAAGGTTATTAGAATTCACAATTTCAAAGAATGTCTTTCCGATGCTCTAGGCTAGTGGATTACAAAGCAAAAGCCTGCAAAATGGGTAATTTGGTTTGCAGCTCTCTGCGCAACAAAAAAAAATATTGAGTTCATAGATGTGATTATATCATACAGTTAGAAGCATTTTGAAGAGTTGAGTTCCATTTTTCAAAATCAGGAAAAAGGCATATAATTGTTTTTTCTTAGATTATTGCTTCTCCAAACAATAGCAAAAAGAAAAATCTACTAAATATTAGACAATATTTCAGTATACTGTAGGCTTTGATTCTGTATATTCTGCTAGAAATGTAAAAAAAACCCAAAAAACCAAAGAAATAACAGATTGATTAATTAATCTGTTTATTATTGAGCAAGAGGCCATTTTCATTTACATTTTAGTTAGAAGAAGGAATGTGTCTCCTTAGAGTACTCTGAGGAAGTCACAACCTATTCATGGCAATTGAATTCATATTTGTTTAATTTATGTGAGCATTAAAAATGTTCCATTACTTGCCAGTTTTGTACAATAACATGCTACATGCTTCAGAATTTATTATTCTGTTTATTTAAAGGAAACAAATATTTTATTTTTATGTATTTGCAAGAACACATAAGCACATTATGTGTATTCTGTGTTTCCTCATATATTTCTCAAGTTGCCTAGGTTACATCTGGCCTTCTAGGAGGACTTGTTTTTCCTCTTTTAATTGCTACTTTTGTTTCAGTAGGGAGAAGATCTCTGATAATCAGTCTTGGGCTGGAAGTTGAAAATTGTCAGGATTTTTTCTCTGAGGGTTTGTCTTCTCTGAGGGTTTTCTAAGTGAATGTGCTCTTGTATTGTAATTCATATTCAAAGTTGGGAACCAGTTTCTAGTTTTGACCACTCACGTGTGTCAGGTGCTAATGCTGGTCAAATATTGGAGATAAAATTGCTTGAAAGCAGATGAGAATTTCCTCATTTAGAATCTTTGCCAGAAATTGTTATCCATATTTTTTCTATCTAATATCATTAGAACAAGTTTTCCTTTCTTGGCTATGGTTCCTTACTTCAAGGGAAATTTATTAGCATACATTAATCTCTTACGTCTCTTCTGCATAGTTTAGCTGTAGCTTTATCTCCTCATTTATATTTATTACCTGCTTTATTTATATAAGGTGCAGAATTGTGTTCATGATGTCACCTCTTATAATAATAATCACTTCCTATATTTTAGGCACTTATACATCTGATTATTTTACTTAAAATAGCTAAGAAAGGAGTTTTGTTGCTCCATCACTGACGGAAAGACGCTCTGTGTGGATGCTCTATGTTGAGATGAGGGAAAAGAGTAAGATCATTCAAATTTCAAGGTGACTCTTCCTTCCGTGGAGGCAGGAAACAAGCCAGAAGAGGAAAAGACCTGGAAAATATTTTCCTGGGATCTATGTACACCGATTAACCTAATGTCAGAAAGTAATAATTTATGATACTCTGGGTGCAAACAGAGGGTGATATATGATTTTCATGCCATTATCCTTATTATTCTGCATTATTGATGAGAATTGTTTCAACCTCTCCCATGAGCAGGGTTAAATCTTAACACCTGTACATCTATACCATTAGAAGTTGTAATAACTTTTTTCTCTTATTCCCACTCCAGATAAGCATTTCTCATTAAACTTGAAATTCTGTTTCATTCTACCAGTGAAATTGACATTTATATAACTGACCCTCACTTCTGATAGATTTCAAAACTCTATAGTCAATTAATAACAAATCTAGAAACCATATTTTGCGCCACTGTAAAATTTAACTAACCAAACGGAAGTCTGTTGCAAATGAGTGTTCCTTTCTTTACTGTGCTTAA